AGAACCAAAAACGATTGTCCCCGACTCCTTAACTCATTTATAATCAAGTTAATTCATTCGCTTTTGAATTTTCATATTGCACTGTTTTATAATTTCTAGTTGATAATCAAATCCCCAAGCAATTGAATTAGAACGTTTAGGATTTTCATTTCTTTTGTTTCTTCATTTCTGTGATTGAATATCCGTACAAATAATCGGCTAACCTTCCTTGTGAGACGACCCGGTGTCGAATCTTTCGATTCTACTTCGGTAAAAATATTTATAACAGGATCCAATGGTCCAAATTTATTCTTATTTCTTTCACAACTATCAATCTCATATGATCCCAAATATATATATATATACATATAAATCAATGTCACCCTAAATCCTAATTTGAATTTGCAAATTTATTACACATTTATTAAGTTTTCGGTAAATTACACATTTGACACATGTACCAAACTGAAATATATTCAATCTTCATTAAGTTGCAGATTTGTCCAATGTGCTAAATTGAAATATTAAAAAAATATGAAATGTGCATTTTAGCCCCTATAAATTATCAAATTCTCAACAACAAGTCCCCAAATCCAAAATCAATATCCGCGTATGTCCGACCATTTCAGCCGGAACTTTGCCATCGAGAACCACTCGGCCGAGAGGATGTGTCGCTGTAGACGACCTTCTCTGATTTGTGTCACCTGAGAAGACGACCTTATCGATGTCGGAAATGAGAGGCGGTGTCCGCGGATGAAATAAACAGCGGAGACGACATTCGTGTTCTCAGGGATCAGCAATCGGCAGAGAACGGTTAGTGGATGGCATGACATTTTTCAACCCCTATCGTTGGTGTGTGTGTGTGTGTGTCTTCGCCGGAGAGTAATGGTCGGACTGTATGAACGGTAGCTTGGCTGAGAATGGTCAGCGGGAGGCAGAGAACAGTCGCCTTGCTGAGAACGACGACAGAGAAATGGTCAGTCGTTCATTGCGAGATGACCAGTCCGACGGGATAAGAATGGTCGGCGATGTGAGAAACGGAGCAGAGGCGGTAGCTGTAGCGGAGGCCGACGGTCAACGGGGGGAGGAATGGTCGGCTACGACTGAGGCCGAGGCGGATTCGGTGGTTGTGGCAGCGGTCGAAAGCCGACGGCTGGCGAGGTGTGATGTGTGTATTCGTTATGCGTGTCTCTCTCTCTCTGTGTGTATGTGTGTGTTTA